TGGATTATTTAGAGGATATGAGGGAAGTTTCTTGGAAATGGAGCTATTGATTTTGTCCAAGAAAATCAGGGTACATGAATAGGTGCCACCAGAGATGAAATGGAGAGCTGGGGTTTCACTTACAGACATAGAGACGGTTTTCAGCACTGGCTTTAATTGCATTCCTTCTGTTCAGGAAAATAGGCCAATAATAACTATTTTTATTTTTTTATCAATCAATTTACACTATAAAAAAATTATATTACAGAAAGTCTAAATGTCTTTGTTGCTTTAAGCTGACTGGAAAAAAATCACTTGATTTAAAACAAAATTAGGCAAGATTTTTTCAGTGTCCATCAATCTAAATTGGTTTTTGATAATTGATCTTTTTGTTTTTTAATTAATATTACTTTTATTTATTCTCTATTCACACACAAAAAATATTTTGCCGCTTGTTTAAACTACCTCTTTAAAGTATGCTGAAACAACACAATTATTGGGGACTTTTTAGGACAACTTAATTGCTAATTAATTATATTCAATCTACTTAAATTTGTTAAGTTAGTTTAATTGATTTTTGTTGGGATAGCATAAATGAATTGTGTGAAACCCTGCTTTTTTTATAGTGCACCCAATCGATGTATTAGCTATATCTATCTGTCTATTAGGGCTGCACGAGATTGAAAAAATATGATATTGTGATATTTTAGTTTTGTGCAATAAATTTTGAGATACCGATACGTCTCACAAGAGGTTCTGAAAAGCTTTGACCATTTCCTGTGCAGTCTAACAGTAATCAGGTACAGATATGCAATAATCACAATGCTTTTCTTACTTTGTCTCGTTTCAAATATCAAAAAAATACTTAGATCAAGTAAAAATATTGTTTTGTTTTTTAAATTCAGAATAAATAAGAAAATTAAGCGTTTTTTTTTTTTTTTTTCCTTTAAAACAAGCAAAAATATCTGAAAAAAGAGGTATCTTGTTTTGCTTTGAAATGTAGGTATTTGGACTAGAAACAAGACAAAAATACTAAGAAAGAAAAGCATTTTTTTTACAAATAATCTTTGACAACTCCAAACACAGGTTTTAAACTCTCTAGAAATGCTCAGTTACAAGCCTTAAAAATGATAAACTTTCACTCTATTATGGTTAAACTTAGCTGCAAATCACATGTGTTTTGTGGTTCCTGCAAACTATAATCTGTCTATCTGTCTATCTGTCTGTCTGTCTGTCTGTCTGTCTGTCTGTCTGGATTTTAAATGTCAAGATTGAATTAATATTGAGCTAAAACAAAGGTTTCCCCATTTTCTTTGGTAGTGTGCATATGTTGTGTTATTGTAGGACAGTGTTACTGTTCATTTGTGTGTTTTGATCCATCTTAATGAAAGAGTGTGTGTGTGGTCCAGCTAAAGTCAGCTATGCTCAGCTCAGCATGTACCTCGCAGGATCACACACTCATCACTCCTGTGAAGGACTAACTTCTCTCGGCAGTTCTACAGCATATCAACAAACACCTTGATGTTTGGCTAAGAAAATAAATATAAATGTACCGCTGTGAGCCGATGGAATACATCATGCAGGGAATTGGATTCACTTGAACTTTTCTCTTGTTACTGATGTTTTTTTCACTCACAGGTTTTACCTTTTCAAAGGGATTATTTTAGACTTGAAGGGCTACAGCTAATGTAGGATACAGGCAATTATGCTTAAAATAAAAACAATATCTTAAAAATTTTGAGGAAATAAATGAATTTAATACATTTTGGAATAAGGCTGTAACAAAAAAATGTGGAAAAAGTGAAGCGCTATGAATACTTTCCAAATGCACTTAAGAAAGACCCAAATGACTCCAAATTGAAAGGTTTACTTAAAAATAATATGTCATTGATGATCAACTATTTTTTTTAAATAACTAGTATGTGTATATCCAGAAACTCTCAGTTTTTCTTAGAGTTACATCTTAATATTTATTTTATTCCATAAAATGTCTTCTAAATATTTTTTGTCATTTAAAAAAATGAAAATTGTTCAGAATAAATGTTTTTATTTTATTTGTTGTGATTGTATATTTAAAAAGGAGACAAAACCAGAGCACCAAAAATGCCAATTTAATGAATTAAAAAGGCTGATACAAGGTGTAGAATGTTTCGAGCACACCGGCTCTTCGTCAAGTGAGGAGGTTGATATTTGTCCTTTTCTCTCATGTTTAATTAGTTGCTCAGGTAAAGTTTTTTTGGCTATATTTTGTTGCATTTCTTTGTTATATTTTGTTAAGTTTTTTCTTTATTTGGGATGTATTATTAGGATGTGTTTTTGTGTTTTCGTTTTGAATATGTAACTTGTAAATATAATTTACTAATGTGTATTTTTCTATTTTTTTGTTGTGAGATAATGTATGAGATTATGTGATCCGGAAGTGTATAAAATTAGCAACATACTGTGATGAAAACTGTCTGATGAAGAGTTGGTGTGCTGTGTATTACACACATTGTATCGGCCTTTTTACTTTAAAGGGCACATAGTTTACCCCTTTTGTATGATTTAATATTAATATTATGGTTCTTCTGAGTGTGCCAGTTTAGGTTCAGTTCAAGACACAGTTCAGATTTTTTTATTACAATGTGTTAAAAAGTGTGATTTTGGCAGAGTGTCCACAGCTCGCTGTTTAAGGGGTGTGTTGCTTCACATGAAAATTAGTTTCGGCTTCCTGCTTAACTTAACAAGGGGGCGGAGCCAAGAGCTCCCCGCTCTGTGTTTGCAACAGACAGGCAGACAGAGAGAAGCAGCATGAGTGAGAGAACCAGCATTCAGCCGTACATGTACGACTCGGACACAGACCAAACAGAGACTACAAGATCATTTGTGTCTTTGTAATTTTACAGCCAACTGTGTGCTAGTTTCAAGTACCGAGCTTGTACACCAAGACTATTAACCACGCACACTAAACTAACTTTGACTGAGGCACTGGATGGGCCGCTTGAAGCTGGGACACGGCACACCAGACACTGTCTGTGGCGTGGCAGAAACATGAAGTGTCCCGAATCGTTGCACCATGCAGCACCATGCATTTTAAAATTCTAAACATAGGTTTCTATCAGGGTACACACAACGGCGCTTGAAGTCACCGGTTGTTAAGATCACAGGGAGCTTCTGTGATCGCGAGAAATGCAAATGGCTGAAGTTTAAGGTAGACGCAATGAAAGTACACGTTTGCAAACCTACCTAACTAAAGGTACAAACAATAATTCCGATTAGAGGGATAATGTGGAGAACATTGATCTTGTGTTGAGCCCAATGAGCCTTACATCTAAAAATAGAGCACCGATGTTCCTTTAGTGACATCTCTTTGACTCACACGCTGAAAATGACGGACGTGAAACAACAAACTGAGGATGCTGATGCGCCTGACAATCAATATTGGTGGGCGGGGGGGCCGTACTCCTACATAAAGTTGCGGTCAGTCTGAAAACCTCTCCAATTGGTCCACCGTTTTTATGTTGTTAAATTGAAAAAAAAAGTACTGGGTGTGTTTATACACACACACACATGTATGTCTAACCAGCTTGAAAACTCGATTTTTCACCATAGGTTGGGGTTGCCGCATTTTTGAATATATATTTTGGCACTTTTTGCTGTTTGACTGAACACTCATTTAAAACGATGTGCATGCTTTTGTGCACTTTTTTATTTGTTGTGATTAAAAAATGAGCTTTACTCCACTCAAATACTGAATTTATTTAAACCATTAATTCATAGGAATTTGAATTGTAAAACATTAATGTAAAAATTGTTTCTTGTTTTAATAATGTATGCCAAAAAACCTAAGTAGTTTACAGAAATAAAATAACATTTAGTATATATATATATATATATATATATATATATATATATATATATATATATATATATATATATATATATATATATATATATATATATATATATATATATATATATACTGAAAGCAGAATTTATATTGTCTGGGTTCATAATATACAGGTTTTATGGGTACATAATCTTTTGAAAAATGTGAAGCAAATAAACATCAATTTTGCCTTCACATTTTGAACAGTTTTTCTCTATCGGTTTGGCTCATTTCTTGAAACAGGAATTACATTCTGAAAACAACATGGACAAACCTCCAAACTACTTGGCAATTGTTCACAACTGAATTGATTTTCTTATTCATTTCATTAAAATGCAAATGTCTAAGTACATGTCTTAATGTCTAAGTATATCTTTCCAAATGATTAAGTACAGGTAGCCTACATTTAGCACAATTCCTAAGTGAATAGATCTAGTTGATCCAAACTGAATGTTGATTCTCAGTGTAAAGGTTGTTCTCTCTAAAACATGTCAGCATCCTTTCATTTGTTACAGCAATTGACAGTCAGGTGAAACTAGAACTTGACGGAGGAGTTTAACACATCTCAGATGACCAATCAAACAGTATGTTCAGCTTTATTCACAGCACTGTAAGCTGAATATCATTTTTGGGAAAGATATGTGCTTTTGCAAGTGAGCTATAGTGTTGTGCTGAACTGTGTTTTGCCAAATCTGACCTTAGAGTGTTGAGAATGTAATTCCTGTGTCCAGAATTAAGCCAAACCAATGGAGAAAAACTGTAAAATACAAAATGCCTTTAATCATCACAAGAGGTTCAACATATTTTCAACATTATAAAAATATCTGTATTTAGAAAAGTTCAATAGCTTGACTTGTAAAAAGAAAGTTTACCCAAAAAATAACAATTCTGCCATCATTTACACATCCTAACTTGTTCGAAACCTGTATGAACCTGTAACCATGAAATTCAATAATATTTGTTTAACCAACTATGGTTGACAATGATTACAGGTTTCCAATCTTCTTTAAAATATTTTCTTTTGTGTTCAAAGAACTAAAACAAGTTTATAGCGAGACAAGGGTGAGTTAATGATGGCAGTATTTTTTATTTTTGGTTAAACTATCCTTTTAAGCCATCACCCATAACAATTCAGCAACTCTCCAGAGAAGCGTTGTGGAAAAACAGGAGTTTATTGTGCCAGTGAGTGAATGCTATTCTGGTACATCGGTCATGGAAAGAAAACATCCAACTCTCCTAAAGCAAAAAAGCAGCTACACTCACAAAGGCTTTCTCTTACATCCAAACACCACAACAACAATGACCATCTCATATAATGCTGGAATCACACTGAAATAGAGAAAGAAAACATGTTTCAAATACACCGAAGTTAAAGCGAATTCATTGAAAAGGGCATTCACAGTTAAAGTTATGCTTTGACTGTTAATCATTAAACGACTGACCTGCAGAAGGAAAAGATCCACCAGTAAATGCTGCAGGTCCATTGCTCAAACATGAAGAAAAGCAAAGCCACAGAGCCACTGCTGTGACATCCAATAGCTGAAAAGTGACGGTTAAATAAAATTCTGTGCCTGTATCATGATGCCTTTATTGTTAACAAACCAGACTTTTGCTGCCATTCTACCTCTGGGATTGTCTATCATGTCTGTCTAATTGTATTGATTTGTACTGCGTTTAGTTTTGGAAAGCAATAGTAAAGATATCTTTGTTAGGTTTTATAATACGAGGCTATGTTAATTGTTGAACTTTTGTTTTTTCAAGGAAACCATATGGCTAAAGTTGTGGAGTCAATCTAGGGCCATATACTTGCAAAATAAAAGAACATTTTTAAAACAAAATTGAAAGTATTGAGCAAAAAATAAATGCAAATCTCTAAAAATCGCAAAGCAAAAGCTTTATTCATTCATTATTTTCTTGTCGGCTTAGTCCCTTTTTAATCCAGGGTTGCCATAGCGCAGTGGTCACCAAACTTGTTCCTGGAGGGCCAATGTCCTGCAGATTTTAGCTCCAACCCTTATCAAACACACCTGAACAAGCTCATCAAGGTCTTACTAGGTATACTTGAAACATCCAGGCAGGTGTGTTGAGGCAAGTTGGAGCTAAACCCTGCAGGGACACCGGCCCTCCAGGCCAGGATTGGTGACCCCTGCCATAGCGGAATGAACCGCCAACTTCCAGCCACAACCCATCTTTGCGAAACATCCACACACATTCACACACACACACACACACTACGGACAATTTAGTCTACCCAATTCACCTGTACCACATGTCTTTGGACTGTGGGGGAAACCGGAGCACCCACGCGAGAACATGGGAGAACATGCAAACTCCACACAGAAACACCAACTGAGCCGAGGTTCGAACCAGTAACCCAGCGACCTTCTTGCTGTTAGGCGACAGCACTACCTACTGCGCCACTGCCTCGCCCAATTAAAAACCTGTTTTTCAGAAATAAAAATAGTTTTTGCTAACAAAAATTTAAAAATTCAAAGGAAAATTAATTTTTTTTAAATAAAAATTACATTTGCAAACAAAAAAAAATGAAAAAAAAAACTATAAATATTTGCAAAACATTTTTAGCCTTGCCCTAACCCATCCAGTCAATTACAATGCTCATTTTGATTTGACAAAGGGGTGGAGTCAAGGGAACTTGGGCGTTTACGGCAGGCCTTAGGTAAACCTCTAAGTTCCCTTGACTCAGTTCCCTTGTCAAATCAGGGCCACAAAGTGAAAGGCGCAGAAACGTGAAGTACAAAGTGAAAACAGCATAACAAACTCACAGTTGACTAAAAGCTAATCAAAATGACAATTGCAACTGACCAGGAGGGTTTTGTAAAAGCAATGCTATAAAAACGTTTTGCAAATATATATATATATAGTTTTTTTGATTTTTGCAAATCTTTTAGTTTTTTTTTTCACTGCTTGATGTTTATTTGCAGTTCCTTTTTGGTTTACAAATTTCATTTTTATTTCTCAATTTTCCCCTTTGCAGTTCTTTATTTTTGTTAGCAAAATGTATTTTTTATTTTTCAATTTACATTTATTTATTTTTTTCTCAATACTTTATTTTTTGTTTGCAAAGTTTTATTTTATTTTGCACGTACAGTTGAAGTCTGAATTATTAGCCCCCCTTTGAATTATTATTATTTTTTTTTTGTATTTCCAAAATGATGTTTAACTGAACAAGAAAACTTTCACAGTATGCCTGATAATATTTTTTCTTCTGGAGAAAGTCTTATTTGTTTTATTTCGGTTAGAATAAAAGCAATTTTTTATTTTTTAAAGACCATTTTAAGGTCAAAATTATTGCTCTTTAAGCTATATATTGTTTCGATAGTCTACAGAACAAACCATGGTTATACAATAACTTGCCTAATTACCCTATCCTGCCTAGTTAACCCAGTTAACCTAGTTAAGCCTTTAAATGTCACTTTAAGCTGTATAGAAGTGTCTTGAAAAATATCTAGTCAAATATTATTTACTGTCATCATGGCAAAGATAAAATAAATCAGTTATTAGAGATAAGTTATTAAAACTATTATGTTCAGAAATAAGTTGAAAAAAATCTACTTTCCGTTAAAAGAAATTGGGGAAAAAAATAAACAGGGGGGTAATAATTCAAAAGGGCTAATAATTCTGACTTCAACTGTATATATGGCCCTAGATTGACTTTATATACCAGGTAGGTCTTGACCACATTACAGCTCCATATAATTTTTTACGACCCATGACTTCAGGTAATTTACTGTCAAAAATCTGAACAAAACAGAAGACTTTGGATGAGATGTGTAAGAAACTAGTACTAGACACACATATGGGAGCTGTTTGCGTTAATCATAAGTTGAAGATTTGACTCCGAACCATGAAAATATAAGAAAATAATACACAATTTATATGCATCAACACCTACAGTATATATATAACCTATAGTGGTGATGTGCTACTAGTAAGGATACACAGAAGAGCTTGGTTGTTGTTGAACATAGAGATTCCACAGAGAAACCCAACCAACTCGATGGCTAACAGGCCCAGAGTCACGGATAATGCCACCACAAGCCTGTATTCCAAAAACAATGGTTAGGACAGCGTCATGAACAGGACTTACTATATCTGACTCCATAACATTATTCACATCTACTGTACATATAAATAATGTACAATTTACTATCAGTCAAACAATAATATGCTGTAAATGGGTCAAACAAGAAAAGCCATCAAAAGATTTTAAAGTATTTTGTTTCATAAATTAAAAGGTACATTTAATTAACAATTAAAATACATTCTGTATTGCGGAATAAAAAAAAAGACTATTTTAGTTGAAATCTTGCAGGTTGTAATTTCTTTTCGTTTTTGGATTATTTTGCTTGAATGTAATTGTAATATCTTTCAATTTCTAAATATGTTTGGTGACTAAAATATTATTTGAATAAATATATCTGTTTAATAAATCTGTTTTGTTTCAATGGGGTGTACTCATTTGCTGAGCACAGTGCATATATCATGCACTTGTTTTACAATAAAGTTGAATCGAAAAATACTATTCAGTCTCACTACATGACCGAAATAATTATATTATCATTTAGCCACTGTGAAGCAATACAGAACAGAGAAAGTGTGTTTCCCCACCGTGTGTCCTCTGCTGTGTACTCTTCATTAGTGTAGTCGAGTGGTAGACAGGCTCGGACACTGTACTCCTGTAGGTCATTCCACATTTAAACACACAGCTGGCTGCAGTGGTGTTTTGTGATATAAAAATAACAATTACACACACAAGAACACTTCTTACCCGAGACCAGAAAATGATTATCACTATTACAAGGTGTGCGATGAGAGTGAGGAAACGGGCAGGCACCAGACTGCTGACCACCGACATTGAACACTAGACAGAGAAGAAAGACATAATAACTTAGATTGAACTGTGCAAGTGGATGACTAAAGGTTAAACGTGTTCATCTTCACAAAACGTGAGGTTGTGTATCAAAATGGTATACGTACCAGCTTTGCGTTAGTTGTTAAAACCTGATTTTTCAAATGGTGAGCAGTAAAGTAGATATAGCACTGTATATACGGCTACTATGCGTATAAGTTTATCAAGCTTGAGGACAGTTATCGCTCGATATAAGCTTCGGGTTGCTACGACAACACTCTTCTTCTATTTGGCGAATGGGTTATGGTCAAAACAGACCAACAAGTAGCTCAATGCTGTCACCTGCTGGAAGGAGTCGCTTTCTGACTGGTCCTCAACTTGGTTTTACAATGTCTCAAAATGTTCATTCATTCATTTTCCTTCGGCTGAGAGCAGGTACTAAAGGTGAAATAACTTGAAAATGGTGAACTGGAATATGGCAGCGCAGACAAGTAGTAAGACAATTGGAAAAAATTGATTTCAAAGACTTCATTATTGTGGTCAATAGGGAGCACTATCAAGGTGTTTGAGGTGTCTTAAACAAGCCTTTTATTCAGTCATTCATTTTCCTTTAGCTTAGTCTCTTTATTTATCAGTGGTCGACACAGCAGAATGAACTGCCAACTTATCCAGCATATGTTTTACACAGCGGATGCTCTTCCAGCTGCAACCCAGCACTGGGAAAATCCAAAAACACTCATTCAAACTCATATACTATGGCCAATTTAGTTTATTCAATTCACCTATAGCACATGTCCTTGGACTGTGGGGGAAACCGGAGTACCCGGAGGAAACCCAAGCAAGCACAGGGAAAAAGCATCAGCAGAAATGTCAGCCGGGACTCGAACCAGCAACCTTCTTGCTGTGAAGCGACAAAGCTAATCTCGAAATGAAATGCATTTAAACAAACTAAGTTGTTTTTTGTTTTACGGTCTCATTTTTACAGTGTATCTATAGCATAAAGTACTGAGTGGCATTAATTAACGATATGGAGTACTTACTATGGTTATGGGTTTTTGCATGTGATTATGCATAATTTATTGGTATTATAGTAAGTGCATAAAACCTGTGTAATAAGTGCCCTATAAGTTAAAAGGATAGCTCACCCAAATATAAAAACGTGTTTGCTGTTTATTCAAGTGGTTGTAAATCTTTGTGAGTTTCCTTCTTCTGTTAAGCGATAAAGGCAATACTTTAAAGAAAGTTGGAAACCTGTAACTTCCATAGCATTTGTTTTTCCTATATGGATGTCAATGGTTGCAGGTTTTTAGCATTCACAAATCAACAAATGAATGAATCATTAGTTTTTACTGTAGCCTACAGCCAGACGTTGTTGGTCTAGTAAATAATAAATAAATACTAACTCATTGGTTTGCTATCAAGGGCATTTGCTGTTCTGGAAGGCAGTAAAATATTAACCTTAGAGTTAAGAAATTGAGAATAGACAGTTTTAGGAAAACTTTTTTTTTTACATTGTGGTGACAACATTTGCCATTTTATTTGAAGGGTGTGATATATTTTTAATAAATCTGAAACCCAATAAACAAAGTTGGCACACCATAGATACAAAACCATAAAGAAAAGAATTGTTTAATATATATATATATATATATATATATATATATATATATATATATATATACACAGTTGAAGTCAGAATTATTAACCCCCCTGACTTATTAGCACCCCTGTTTATTTTTTTCCCCAATATCTGTTTAATGGAGGGAAAATAGTTTCAGCACATTTCTATACAATAGTTTTAGAAACCTATTTCTAATAACTGATTTATTTTATCTTTGTCATGATGAGAGTAAATAATATTTTACTTGATATTTTTCAAGACACTTCTGTACAGTTTAAAGTGACATTTAAAGGCTTAACTAAGTTAATAAAGTGAAATAGGCAGGGTAGGGTAATTAGGCAAGTCATTGTATAATGATGGTTTGTTCTGTAAACTATCGAAAAAAAAAATTAGCTTTAAGGGGCTAATAATTTTGTTCCAAAATTGGGTTTTAAAAAATTAAAAACTGCTTTTATTCTAGCCGAAATAAAACAAATAAGACTTTCTCCAGAAGAAAAAATATTATTAGACATACTGTGAAAATTTCCTTGCTCTGTAAAAAATTATTTGGTAAATATAAAAAAAAGAAAAAAAGGGGGCTAATAATTATGACTTCAACTGTATGTCTATATAATAATAAATAAAGTATATTTCTGTACTTTAGGTGTTCTTATATAGAAATGTTTTCTTACCAAGGGCCAAAAACCCAACTTGATTTACACTAGTTTTTGCCTTGGTTTGCTGACCGCTGTCTTCTGCGTAGTCCTCTATCTATCGAGTGACAGTATTTACATTTAAAAAAAATCATTTAACTCATTTAAAATAATTAATTGAAACATTTCCTTTCAGTATTCTTTTTGTATCTCAGTAATAAAACAAACAATTAAAGAAAATGTCAAACTAGAAATGATGGTCTCTTTCAAAGGTGTTCGCCCCTTCCCTCTATATCATTCTCACTCTCTTCTCAGATGGGATAGTGGGCTAAATCAATGGTTACAACTTTGGCTCCTTGTGCCCTACTTTGGGCATCTGACCTAAATTAATGTTTTGAACTATTATCTCTTGATCAGACTTGTTTTTCATGTTTTTATTTTTATTGAGCAGTCTCATAGAGATTATTAATGTAAGATTTACTTTTACTATTATACTATTACTATTAAATATGCTAGATATACTATTAAATATGCAGTACAAACAACTCAAATGTAATCACTTGTATAATGCTTGTTGCACCTATTTTTCTTCGTTGACTCTGTTTTGGGGTCACAACTAGAGCTGTGAATTATTTATTATACGTAAATACACTTTATTACACCAAATACGGGTCATATTTTGTATGATTATGCTTTTTCTGAGAGGATATTACTGTAGGGTTGGCCTGCGTGTCTACAGCATGTTACTATTGGAGCAGAAGAAGCCAACTGAAATATCGCGAGATTTACATCCCCACTCGCTGCTGTAAGATGGAGAAGTTATGTTGAGGCGCAACCGAGGTAAGGGCTTAAATTAGTCTTTGTCTGTTTGATGGAGACGTCTGTTGTTCACTCTACGTGATCTTTAACAGTACCAGATGGGTTTGCTTGCGAATTGTACGTGTATGCTGTTATTAAAATGTGTGTTTTGGATGCAAAGACCGGACACTTTGCTAATATAAACCGCCATTTTTAATTTGCGGTCGGACTGACGAGCATTGTGGTGTGTTGAATGCATGCGCGATGTGCGCGCGAACAGAAAGACAGAAATTATTTACATTCCGTGAGCTGAATACTTCAGATTAAATAGAAATTATCGTGCAAATATCGGGGAATTGGAGGGTAACACTGAATCACGGCTGATTAAAAGGACGTGTATGTGGTATCGCGAGCCTATGTGATGAATGAGATGCATAATTTGAGATTTTGCAGAATTTACGTAAAGTTTTGTGCATTTACAGTCACACTGTCGCATAATTGGGCGTTAAAACATTGTGTGTTGTGTATGGATGCTCATGCCAATACAAGTATGCGGAGTCGTCAAGTTCAGCAACAGTCTTGACACCTAAATTCCTCTTATCTGGTCTTTAGGGGTTTGCATTTTCCATCTTCAGTTTTAAGCCATGTGGCCCACTTATAAAATCAGAGAATAATTCACTGTTTATATTAACAAATGCACCCCCAAAAATCTATCTTGTATGATTTACTGTAGATATCACTGCAGTTAGATAATATCTGACTCGATTTCTATGTAAAGTATGTATTTGTGAACTTTTTACTCAATCTGTGTTATTTTACTTTCAATGCTGATGATAGGAATTGAAGAACCAAATTGTGCCAAAACTGCAGTATTTAAAGTTTGCCCAATTGTTTTTAGGGATTTAGGAAAAAAGAAAATTCTATTATAGTCAAACTGTAATATAATTTCTTTTCAACGTGGTTATGTTAAGTATTATTAAGAAAAAAAATATTTGATAAACCTATATGTAACACAAAATTTGCATGTTAAATATATATTAAAGTAATCCATTAACTAAACATATTCAGACTTACTGACTGCAGACATTTTAGACTGACATTCATTCCATCATATATCAAATTTATTATATATCTAATCCTCCAAATGTTATTGCATACAAACATATTTTGTAGACTTTTAGCATGATGTGTGTCACGCTAACAGTTACGTTTTCCCCAAATGCAGCTACGCACAAGTGCAGCTGTAAAAAGTGAGAAATCGAGCCGTCCACTGGAAGTCAGTGTTATGGTAGGCCCGAGTAGGGAATGATTCAGCGAGATATTCTGCGTTTCTCAGCTAACCAACCAAACCAACGCATGCACGAGCATCTCATCAGCAGCCACTGAGCGCGCTTTGCCAGCCACAGTTCACCGAGACGGTGCGTTTGTTGAAAATGGGAGATAATATACGCTACGGTACGATTGTGAACGCGGTGACAGACGCTGTTTTTGTGAGCTTGAGATCTAAGGGGAGTGAGCGGGTTTGCCGGAGGAGCAGGCCAGGCTGAGCCGGGCACTAGATTATCGTTAGACCACAGCATGTGTGCAGTTCGCAGGAAAAAATATGGACCGGTATAGCTTTGCTTCTAGCGTGTTCTGCTACAGTCGATGCTTTAATTGACGATTTAGAGTGTTTGTTGGAAAAGAAAGCCACTTTGGTAAAGATTTTAGCAATGAGTTGGGCGATTGCGGGTTTGTGTTGACATGTTGTGGGGAATTATGTATTTTGTATCTCAACGTCAAAGATCGCGCGAGCGGCTAATGGTCAAATTTAACCCTGTTCCGTTTACTGTAATTCATTTACAGTTTACATAAAATGACGAATATTGTTTTATTTGAGGAGTTATTGACGTGCTCATGTTTACCCGCAAAAGTTAGCTTGCTGACTGTGTTAGCTTGCTAGCAAGGAAAAACTAGCTAGCATGGTACGTTAGCTGCCGTTTTTCTCAAATTGATCTCCGTTTGCCAGCTTGTTTACGTTGGAATTAGTTAACAAAATAATTTGTCGAGTTATTAGTTTAGTCCCACTGGATCTGTGATGCTTAGATTTGCACTTGCAGTCTGTTTGTTTACGGTGTTGTACTTTCGTTTACAAGAATATCTCAGGTTAGCTATGTCATTGTAATTTTTGGTATTCGGTTAACTAAGTTAGCTGGTTAGTTGCGCTATGGACTGCGGAACAGTTTTGTTCTTTGATAATAACTAATAATTT